TGCCGTAAGGTAACCTTTTTCCTACTTTTGATAGTAAAACCGCAACATTAGCAAAACTTTACTACAAAGACAATGTTTTTATGTGTTTTTTTTTTGTTTTTTTTTTAAATGCAAAGAAGTATTTTCTGATTTTTAGGTTGCATACATGTAAGATTTCAATATAAAGTGGCTTCCACTGACAGCCCTGAAGCTATAAAACCACCAAAAACAAAATCAGATCAGAAAAAAACATTCACTCTGACTTAAGTACGACGTTCTGTCATATAAAACGAAAATAACACACATATGTATATATAGATATACATATATATATAAATGGCAAATTCGCTGGACATCTTTTTTCTTTTCTTGGGGGTGAGGCTTGAAATGATTTTGCTTCTGCGATGTCACCTCCTTTTTTTAATTGGCTCAGAGCTGCGGCTGTGTGAATTGTACAATTTATTGTGGTACAATATACCGGATGTTTTTGCGAAGACTTTCAAGCACCCTAAAAATTAGGGCGTCTGAAAAAAAATAACTGTCTGTGGGAAGAAACTACCAGCCACGGTGGACGTCAGGAATCGCAAAAAAAAAAACAAAAAAAAACATACTTATTAGTCAGCCAATTAATAAAATATATTAATTAACTTTTTAATTAGTGGAAATAGACATATGGTTCCATTCAGAATGTTGGTGAAACCAACATTCTGGGGGGAAACCAACATTCTGGGGGAAACCATTAAATCAGTCAATTTCAGAAAGACTTTCAGCGCGGTAGAAAGCCGCCTCGGTGGCTCCGAGGCGAGAGCGCCGGCCTACGGATCCCCAGGTGGCGGGTTCGAATCCCGACCGAGGTGCCCGCAATATGACGGAGGCTTATTGCGTAGAAGGCGCCGTGTAACCGAGCTTTCGGTTGCACGTCAAAAGATCCCCAGGTGGTCGAAATTAATCCTCAGTCCTCCGCTGGGGCGTGCCAGATGCCCGTCGTAGGTTTGGCACGTAAAACCCCCAAACTCTTGATTTAGCGCGGTAGAAGAGTAGTAGCGCACTAAAGATACCACTCGTGAAGGAGGTAGAAGGCTACCGGTTGTGGTAAGGCGCTCGCGCGATTTTTCCGCCTCTTATCTAGCCCCAGCCTTGTACCGGCTCCACGAGTCGTAACTTTAGTGCGCTAGTACTATTCTCACGCGCTGAGTATTTCTGTAAATGACTAATTTATTTGTTTTCGATAACGCTCAGCAACTTTCTAATTAGAACCATATGTCTATTTCCACTAATTAAAAAGTTAATGAACAAATTTTAATTAACTAGCTGGCTAATTAGTATGCTTTTGGCAATTCCTGACATCCGCCGGGAATGGTAGTTTGTTCCCGAAGACAGGTTTTTTTTTTTCGAACGTCCCAATTTTTAGGGGTTTTAAAACCCTTCGCAAGAACACTCTGTATATAAAAAACATCTCATCAACACAAATAATAAAAAAAAACAGGCAACTGAATGCTGTCTGGCAATACTTCACGCGCCAAGTCAGCAACAAAAGAGAATGATTACCAGAAAAGTAGAGTCCTTGACAAGAAATAGCAGTCCCGAGCTACTCATCAAACCAGTGATTAAACTATCACAACAGTCTCGCCTAAAAAGCATAATTGTTGCTACTAATGCATCTAAACAACACGCTATACTCTCAGCCCTCATCACCCACGAAGGTAAAGAGTTTGTCACAAGAAACTACGTTTCGATTGACTTTTTCATTCTCAGGCCTCCGCACGAAAAAACAAGCGCAAAATGTGTCAGTCATATTCACGCCAATTGAAAATACCGTAGTGGGGAGCTTTGAAATCCCAGCCGTCGATCAATTGAGCTATTTTTCTACCGAATGTAAGCACCTTCCTGGGCATAAAATGCCGAGCCACTCGTTTATGAATGCATGCCCGCCGCCTGAGCTTTCGTAGGGAGAACACGTCACACAAAGATGGCTGCTCGCAGAAGGTTATTACTGGAAAAGTCTTTTCGCAACTCCAACACCTTATAGATGGCGAGGTGGCATAGTTCCATGAGGGCGGAAGACACAGTGATAGATTCTCCAAGATTTAAAGCGCCACTGCTCGGTAACGCTGGTCAACGTATTGAAATTAATTGGTTAGCCTCCAAAAACAAAGCGCTCAGGGCAGGAGCATATGACCGTGGACGGAGATGTTGACATGCGCGAAGAAAATGAGCATGTTAACTATTAAAAGGTGCAAAGCGGTACACAGCAAGTCCTATTTTAGCGGACTCGCGTTTCTCCTTTACAAAGGTTTGATGCACTAACCCGTCGACCAGAACCATGCGGATAACAGCGGCACCGAGGCCGACAGTCCTTGCCACCGTCTCCGCTGCAGTCCCGGTCCTCTGGTTCCTCGTACGCCCGCGAGAGGGCGAGGAGCAGGCTTGAGTTGTGAATAGACCTTCTGTCTGCCTCTTTTGTCATCTTGCGCCAAAAATATTGTGTTGATTTCACCGTGGCAGTGGCAGGTGCTCACATATTAATACCAGCTGTCAGTCAATAAGGTTTTGCTTTTCCTATATTTTTACAGTTTTTGGCAGAAGTGCCGTACTTTTTGACCCCGCACATATCATACTAACAACGCGTTTGAAGGTGTGGTATAGGCAGGGGCGCTAGTTAAACTACAAGTATTTAAAATACGTACTAAAGAGTTTCTGACGACGCACTATCTCTACCATTTTGACGCAGCCTTCGCCTCGTCGTCCTCTACTCCGGCGAAGGGCGGCCGACCGCAACGCTGCGTGGCCGATTAGAAACACAGCCACCACAGTGTCATCGTCCACTGCCGCTGACGCTTGCTCCGTCTCCGGTGGTTTAAAAATAGAAGGGGGAACGGTGGCCGAGTGGGCTAACGCACACCAGCTGGGAGCACGTGGAGCGAAAGCTCGAGCTGCATAGCTTATGTATCCTGGGTTCAATCCTCACCCCTACCCGTTTTAATTTGGATGAGCATCGTACCGGCATGCGGTCGTGTATCACTACTGCGTGGTGCACGTTAAAGACCGAGATTTGCAGTCATACTGCACTGGCTAAATTGTTCATCTACAGTGGGTAACAATGTCGGCTTGTTCTGGCAGATTAACTTCGAGGTGTATAAACATCTAACCAAAAAGTTGACTTTTGGTCTTTTTAGAAATGACAGAAGCACGTGATTAACCGGAACTACCATCGACTGCCGCTACCACGACAATAAACCGCCGTTAAATTTCTATGTTGGATTTTGTTTTTGACCACGACGACGTATCCCACAAGTACTTAATTTGTAAGTTGAATTCGTTACATATCAAATGAGCCACTCATTTGATATGTAACGAATTCAATTTACAAAATAACTGTCTCTTGCAATTATATGCTTAGAATTTAAAAATAAATTCAAAATCAAAGGTTACAAAACCATTGACTCTCATTGCGATCTGATACACATGTCAGAAACACGAATCACGCAGCTCTTTAACTACAATACACCAACTCGTGTTCACAAACAAACAGGAGCGCGTGGGCGATGGCGTGAGGTCGAGAACCGCGTGGTCCCGCTCCGAGAAACCATTGATTGGATTGACAGGTCTGCATCGGGCCTGAGTCCCCGTGCTCTTTTTCGCATTGTTTCTCTTGATTTTACTTCTTCCTAACAATGTATTTCTACTTTTGCGTTGTTGTATCTTTTAGTTTATTTTTTTTATTGACGTGGACTAAAAAGGAAGTCTGAGAAATTAGCCGGGAGGTACTCTCCTGACTGGCTGATCTGGTGGGGATGGGGTAGGGGTATTACAGATATAGAAGGCGAAAAGTAAAAACAATGAAAAAGATCACACTTGCAGTTTTATCAGGCACATAAAATGGACGCAAGATAGAGTTCAGTGCAACATACTAGAGTCTCCTGTCGAGGGCTCTTACTGTAAGGAAACGTATGAGGGCGTCCGTAGTTGTCAAGGCACAATCATCATTATCCCAAGGCCCCAGGAGAAGCATTCTGATGACTTCGTCTTCTTCTGTCCTCAGCTCTTTCTAATTCTTCTTCTGTAACCAAATATATTAAACATTTAGTCTCGTGGGAGCCGCGCTCAAGTGTGGTCGTTCCAGTCCGGGTCTCCAGACACCACATCCTTTCTGGCGAACAAGGATGGAGGGATACGAACTCAAGCCGCCTCCAGACTTTCTGGACAAACCATGGCACCTCGGAAATTCCCTGGGAGCTTTGGATTTCGCTGTTTGATTGTGACATGGGTGCATTTGGTGTCCATGTCATGAAACGCCACCGACACCTGCTCCTCCCCTTCCTGGGAATAGAGGGTGAACGGTTCTTCGGCAACCTGCCTTCTTTCCGCGCTGTCGCTGTGCCGTCGCGAGCAACGACGTCAGCGGCAGCCACTTCTAGATTGCTGACAACGAGTGTCTATCAAGATGCTGTCGACGCCTTCAGCGCGCACTTCGAAAGGTCGTGCGACATCAGCCTGGAGCGTCACCGCTTCCGACGGAGCTATCACCAGCCCGAAGAATGCTTATCCGATCTCTTAACCGCCCTTCTAGATATGGCATTTCCGGCCAACTTCGATTCTCAGCAGGGCGAAAACATTAGGGAACAGTTCACGGCTGGAATGCTGTCCACTATAATTCGAGAACGGCTGCTCCTGGATTATACCCTTCCCTTCAAGCAAGTTGTGAAAACCGTCCTGAACATCGGAAGGGTCAAGGCCATTATCACGGATCCGCTACCACGGAAAAGCAACTCACTTTCAACGTCACGCACGCCACCGAGACCGTCGACGTCTGACCTTTGCGTGGAGCTTCATGCTCCCGTATATTAGCGGTGCAGAACTTTCTAACCCGTCACGGCGAGCGGCGCAGCTCGTAATTTCAGCAAGGGTCACGTGAGTGCGTGCCTTTTGCCAAAAGTAGATCTGATTATCGCGCTCCGAGGTATAACGACCAGCACTCAACTCCATTCACTGCGTTTGGACAGCCGCGCCTTGCATTTCACCTCTGAACACGTAAGCTGCGCGAGACCTATCGCGACGGACGATGATGTGCGAACTGCGGATTCGGTTTGGACGACTGTCGGAGCTACGACACGTGTCCAGCATGAAGATGGGCTTGCAGCGTTGCGCCGTCAAAGTCAGGTACGAAACCACCAAATCTTTCCCGACGAAGTACATGACAAGACACAAGTTTGCCGTGTAGCTACGCCTCCCCTTATAGTTATGTACATCAACGTGAATGTCTATGATAGACCACTTACGTTCCTCTTAGATACCGGCTCGTCAGTGTCCATCGTTGAAACACAAAGTCCTTCAAAGGTATTTCAGAAGTGACGCAAAGATTATCCCACTGCCGGTAACTCTTCTCAATTACTCCCGGCAACGTATTGAAGTCCTGGGAGCGCTCAACGCAACAGTGACGCTCAAGGAGCGTTCAGCCAGGGTTGTGTTTAATATAGCGAATACCGGCGCGTCGTTTTTGGGAATGGATGCCGTAAAAGCTATGAATCTTCACATTCAAGGATCGACAATGAGCTGCCTCTATACGGAAACCGAGGACTCGACAGAAGCCTCCAAACAGAGCTCTGAGAGCGTTTTGCCTTTTGACCTATCATCGTCGGATCAAGACGAGTAGATGACACTGCCTACAACTGCCCCTGCACAGGCCTCAGAGCGAGACGGGTCGTCGGATTTCACTGAGGCAGCGTGGATGACCTGTCTTCATCCCCACAAATCTGCACCTACGCCCAAACAATTTCTGACGGGAGTTGCTGCTCCAGGCCGTGAGAACGCGGCGAGACTTCCAACAGCGTTACCGGGCCTTCCAACGTTCTCGAAGGATTACAGTCACCTCTTCTCTCCCGAGCTGGGTCAAGTGAAGCACTACACTCACAAGGTTCCGGCAATAAGTGCAGCCTGTACATCATAATATGCGTGGCATAGTGTACCAATAGGTAGGCCTTCGTGGCCGTTTTTCAACACTACCAGAAAATAAAATATGTTATATTATTAATATTGCTCCTTTCATGGCGCGGAAGCCTGTGACTGAAGAAATCAGACGCCTTGAGGCAGCGGGAGTAATTTAACCCACAGGTGCTTCAGAATGGGTTTCACCCATTTGTTGTGGTCACGAAGAAAGATGGATTCATTCGGATGCCTGTCTTTATTGACAGTTACCTTCTTCCTTATGTTGAGGAGCTTGTGAATGCGCTGCATGGCGCGAGACGTTTCTCGAAATTGGATTTGGCTTCAGCTAATGACCACGTCACACTTCACCCTGACAGCCGAGACTTAACCGCGTTTATAACACATGAAGGCTTATTCCGCGTCAAGAGAGGTTGTTTCGATCTCGCTACTGCTCCAGAAAATTTCCAGCAGATTAAGCTAACGATTCTAGTTGGATGCAAAAGGGTCTTGTTTTACCTGGACCTCGTCAAAGTCATTGGCAGGACCAGAGACGAACACCTGGAGGGATTACTTTATTTCCTCCACCGAATCGCTGATAGTGGACTCAAGCTTAACAAGAACTGTCTTTTTGACGCTGCCAAAACTCTCATATTTAGGCCATCATGTCAGTGGCGAAGGAATCTCCCCACTTAAGCAAAAAATAGACGTCATCAACGCAGCTCCCATCTCAACGGACATTTCACCACTCCGCGTAGTCCTTGGGATAGTAGAATACTACATCAGTTTTGTTGCTCGTCTGGTCGCAGAATTTGAGCCCCGGAGCCAAGTTCTTGGGAAAAGACATTGCAGACATTTGGGATACCGAAGCTGACACCAGCTTCAAGAACATCAAAGCAATGCTATTTTCATTAGGGTTTTGAAGATGTTCGAACTTAGTCTTCCCATCATCGTATCCACCGATGCATCCGGATATGAACCTGGTGCCGTACTCCAGCACCGCAGTGGGAATGAAGTTCAGACCATCGCTTTCGCCTATCGCACACTAAACGGAGCAGAGAGAAAGTATTTGGTGGGTGAAAGAGAAGCACTGGCATGCCTGCGGGCATGTCAGCGGTGGCACAACTACCTGTGGGGCCGCCTTTTCACCCTTCAGACGGATGATGAAGCCTTAATGACGCTGCTAAAAACACGCGGTACAGGACATCGACCCACGGATTTACGAGATGGCCGACCTGTCTTCTCTGCTGCAACTTTCAAGTCGAGTTTTAACGTGGAGCGGAAAATCCGGTCGCGGTAACCCTAGAAAGTTTGAAAGTTGGCGTCGCCAAAGAATGACCACTCTACCACCCCCTTACTCATAACGACGGCCACCCGATTCCGGAGAGCGACGGCCCTAAGGTCTTTAACGAATACTTTTATTTAGTAGTTTCTAACGGGTGCTTGGGCTGTGTCCCCTAACCCGGAAGAGATGTACGAGCCCACGCCTCCTATCAAAGTTAACTCCGCCGGTATTAAAAAGTGACTGATGAAGTAAAACTTCCTTCAGCTGAAACCAACAACACGAACTATAAAATAAAAAAAAACAGTGTTATTATTAGTGAGTATTTGAACATCATCTTTAACCAATTCCACTCTGAAAGCGTCCTTCTGTCAGACTGGAAAGTTGCCAGAGTTCTTCCAGCTTCTAATCTGGGTAGCCACCCTCCTGTTTTAAACTATAGCCTAATTTCTTTAACGTCCATTTCATGCAAACTACTTGAGCATATCCACGTCTACACTATCTTGAGGCACCTATTATTAACTTCAATTTTCTTTAAAAAGCAACACGGTTTTTAAAAGGGGCTTTCATGTGAAACACAGCTTTGTGACTTCATCCATGATCTACCCACTAACCTTGAATGTCATGTAAAGAATTACGCAGTATTCTTTTTTCTAAATCATTCGACTGTGTCTGATATCAACGCCTCCTTCCTAAACTAACATCCCTTTGTGTTGAGCAATTAACGTTTGCAGGGATTCCAGAGTTTTTCTTTTCCTGTGTACAGCTGACGTCCATTCATGATCATGGATCTTCCGCAATAAATGTTTCTTCTGGCGTTCCGCAGGGGTCCGTCCTTGGGCCTCTACTCCTTTTAATATTCATAAATAATCTTTACAGGAGAATTTCTCCTAAAATACGTATTTTCGCCGTCGATTCTGTCATTCATAACAAAGTAACCTGTGTGCAAAATAATGCGCAGCTGCAAGAAGGCCTAGATAAAATTAAGGAATGGTGCAAAGAATGGATGATGTCATTAAGCAAATAAAAAAAATGAACTAATTCACTTTACCCGGAAAAACTCCACCCTGGTGTTCCGATGCTTTCTAGAGTCGGGTTTGATTGAAACAGTTACTGCGTATAAATATCTTGGTGTCAGGCTAACTTCAGACCGTTTCTGAAATAACCACATCAAAGCCATTATTGCTGACTCATCTAGAGCTCTCGCATTAATCAGACATAACTTAAGAATCGCTCCAACGTTCTTCCGTGAGCTGGCACGAGACCGAAATTCGGAATATGCTGCAACCATCTGGAACTTCTTTAACTGTACCTTATCAATAACTTGGAGGCAGTTCAGAGCACAGCTACTCATTTCATCATTTTGTTATTTTTAAATTCCCTGATTCTGTCAGTGTCTCACCGCTAAAAAGTCAACTAAGCATGTCCTTTTCGCAGCATCTGAGGAATGTCTCTCAACTCTGCCTTATTGATAAAATGTACTATCACGTTCCCGACCTCAAAAGCACCTTGTTATCACCCCCCTACCGTACATCTCGCCTCAACAACGCCTGCACCGTCAAACACATTTTTGTTTCTTCTAGCGCTGTTAATCGATCATTTATTCTTCAGGCCATCAGCGACTGCAGCAGTCTCCCATCCTCCACTATTACCATATTTGACCCTGATTACTTTTGTTCTTTTATGAAACAACATCTTGCTTGATATTATACTTTTGTTTGAGCTTGTCCACACGCAGCAGATGCTACGATGTAATGAGACCAATCAAGATGCGTCAAAAGCGCAAATTACTGGGCCATTTCTGTTTATGATTGGTTCAGTGATGATAGAACACGTGCACGAACACGACCAACTCTATGATGGTAAGCTTTTGTCGCTTTCTGATTCATCCCAATATCTCATACACCAGCTGCGTCTGAACTTAAGGTAAAACGAAGCATTGCCTCGTTCTTTTTTTTACATTTTAATTTCTATACTTTTTGAGTATGCCCTGCATGTATCATGTTCGTATTTCGCAGCTTATGTATAATCCCTGATTACATCCCCCCTTATGTAATGCTCTTAAGGGGCCTTTCAGGTGAAATAATTGAAATGAAAACGAAATGAAAAGAAAAAAAAGGTGTCCATTCATTCTAGCCTGCGTTGACCGGTGCACATTGTAGCCTAAAACAATCCAGTTGCCGACATATCTGCTAAGACTGTCGCAAGAACATTTAAAGGGTCGGACTTAGCAGCTCAACACAAGAAAATGCAAACACAAAAAAATATATATCCACACTGCTGGACTGGCAACCATTTAATGCCACCTCTTCGTCCTTCTCAGTTAGCTACCAGAATAACGTGCCTTATTTTCTATTTTTTTCTACATCGTCCTTTTCAAAATCGGAGGGAGAAAGACGACGACGACGCTCCAGGCAGGACGATCGAATTTGTCGAGCTGCTACTTATCCGCGATTTGCGCAGGCTGCAAAGGCTAGAACAGAAAGGCGATTACTGCGAAGGCGATTAGTACGAATTGGCACTGACGGACGAAGTTAGTTTCCGCCGCCTGAACCTGGACAAGTCTTTTCGGACGGATCAAGAAGTCCGGGTCTGTTAGGCCTAGAGCCAGACAAGTCTGGCGTCGGCAGAGCTGGACGGACTCGACGTTGCTGCTGGTGTCAGCTGCGGAAAAGACGGAGGCCCTACGCAAGCAAGCAATGGATCCCAATGGGGGTCCATCGAAGCTTCTGGAAGCGAAGATCCCCGAGCAACGAGCGAAAGCCGCCTTCAAGCCAGGCTACATTGTACGAGGCCCACGTACGTTAAGTCTGCTCGACGGCGGGTCGCGATTAGCGAAGCGGGGGAGGGGCTTCACAAACGAATTCGAAGACCGAGTGCCGAGAGTGTCGACACCATAACGTCGGAAGTGCCGGAGGACAGCACCGAGAACTCCATGGAAGTGAACGAGACAGAGGGCGGTTCAAGAGGGGAATCCAAGACCTATGAAGGT